ACCCATGAGCTTGAGGTCAGCTTAGACTAATGAGTGAGACTATTTTTTTTGTCTCTTTTGAAACAGGGTCTCCCTGTAGCCCCAGCTGGCCTGGAACTCCCTATGTAGACCAGGCTGACCTTGAACTCACAGAGATCCACCTGCCTCTGCCTCCCAAGCGCTGGGACTAGAGGCGTGCACCACCACATTTGGCGAGACCTATTTTTTTTTAAAAAATAGTAACATACCAAGTCAGCAGAGGAAATTTCATGGCAACTCAGCATTCGGCCTGAGGCATGTTTTGCTTATGCTTTTATATTATTGACTCCTTTTATCAAAGTCGACAGTGTGAAATATAGAAGACGCACATGTAAAGGTGGGGCCAAAGTATGGCTGCTAAAGAAAATAAGATTAAAAAGAAGTCAAGAACTTTTCACTGGTGCAAGAGGAAAGATGCTGCACCTCAGAAATCAGCAAGACCTCATCTGTTGCAGACTGAAGGATGGGAAAATAGAAACTCTCTTGAAGGGAGCTGGAGAGACGGCTCAACAGTTAAAAGTGCTTGCTGCTCTTCTAAAGGACCTAAGTTCAGGCCCCAATACCCTTGTTGGGTAGCTTACTACTGCTTGTAATTCCAGAGAGACTTTCCCTTGAAACCTGGCATGGTGGCACATGCCTGTAATCCCAGCACTCATAAGACAGATATGCTAGGATTGCCATAAATTTGATGCCAGCTTGGTGGCCTACATTGTGAGTTTTAGGTCAGCTAAAGAGAGACTTTGTCTCAAAATTCAAAACTTAAAAAAGACAGAAAAGGGGGCTAGAGAGTTGGCTCAGCAATTATGAGTGTGTGCTGCTTTTCCAAAGGATTCCAAGTTCAGTTCCCAGCACCCACAGTGAATGGCTCATAACCACCAGTAACCCCTACTCCAAAAGACCTGATACCCTCTTCTGACCTCTGCAGGTATTTACAGATGTGTGGAATATACTCACAAAAACACATACATATAAATAAAAACAAATCTTTTAAAAAATGTGTATGAGTGTTTTACTAGCATGTATGTAAGGGCATCTGTGTCATTCTATGCCAGCAGAGGCCAGAAGAAGGCATTGGATTCCCTGGAACTGGAATTACAGGCAGTTGTTACCTACCATGTGGGTGCTGGGAACTGAAACCAGGGTCTTCTGCAAGAGCAGTCAGTGCTCTAAACCACTGAAACATCTCTCCAGCCCCATAAAAATAAATATTAAAAAAAGACACACAAAGATATTCCCTTGATAAGAGAGCTCTGCCTGGAATACCTGGTTAGCATAGAACCATCTAGGAATCTATTT